CACTCCCCCCCGTGTGTGTGTGTGCTCTCGGTCCCTCCCTGGGAACAGGCGCTGCCCACCCAAGGAGGCGACCGGCGCTCCTGCCCCGCTCCCGCTCGCTCACTCGCACACGCATCTACCCGTGCGTGCGCCTCTCTCGCTCCCTCCCTGAAGTCAGTGCTTGTGTTTTCAGGTTGCTCAGACCTGAAATCTAAGGGAAAAAGCTGAGCGTTTGCATCGCTGCTCCTGCCGCTGGTGGTGGTAGCGGTGAAGAGGAAAGAGGTTTCTTTTTTTTTTTTTTTTTTTTTTTTTCCTTCCCCTTGAATTCAATGGATCTGAACTTGGAGTCTTTGGACCTCGGCGGTTTTGGAATATCTACATGCTGATCCTCTTTGTTGTGGCACATCAGCTCGTTTGGGGAAACCATCCGAAGACAGCAAGATGTTTCTCGTTATCTTGTATTTCGCTTTGCCCTTAGTGGGTAAGTTGCTGGCGTCTGATTTCTGTCTGTACATCGCTTCATAAAGCAAAGCGTAGGGTTTATGAGATCGGATGCCTGACAGTTGTCAGTCTATTGTTTAGGCAGAACAGTGAAGTTCCCAGTAGTTTTTATGGCTCTGCCTCACATCAGTTAGCCCAGTCTACATTTAAAGCTCTGGGAGATTACAGACTTAGATACTTGCCTGTGTAGCCTCTTGTTAAATTGGGTTCTCGCAAGTTACAGGGAAACTTTTCATTTTACTAAAATAAGGCTGCTTGGGGAGGGGGGGGGTGTGACAAGACCCAGCTGAAGGATTACATCTTCACCTGAACCTGGCAGCCTGCCCGACTGCGAGTGGTTTGCAGCCCAAACTGGTTTCCTTTCCACAAGAGATGTTTGCGTTTCCATCTGCGTGTGTCTGAGGGAGCATGACAGGGGGCACGATGGAGAGGAGAGAGTTAATGTAATTTGCTTTGTTCTCCTGCAAAAGCATCTTACGTGGAGAGAAATGGGGGGGGGGGGAAGAGTCATAAATTCTACCTTTATACATGTAGAGTAAGCAAAAATGTGTACAGCCTTTAAAAAGTGACTGACGCAAAAAGAGGCCAATATCAATCAGTGAGGATACTTATCGCTCTGAGCGGGTTGTTCGTGGATGTAATTGAAATTACAGCAAAGCTCTTCTGGAAAGTGAGGCCGAATATTTAACCCCTCAGTTAAACACTCGAATGGAAAGGTTATTTATTTCCCCAAAGTGGATCTAAGGAATAATGAGTGCTTGTTTTGTCAGGCACATTAACCCCTGTGGGTTTTCTTTCCTTTTCGTGTTTTCTCATAAATCAGCCGGCAGGCTTAAAACATACTGTTTCCTTGGACTCCCACAAAAGTGGATCTAAGACCATGAAAACCCCGCGTGCTTTTTCCTAAGGTGTAGCGTGAAGCCCGGAGGTTTGCAAGGTGCTGCCCGTGGGGGCTGGCTGCATGTGCTGCGTGAGGAGGTGCCTTGTGCTTCCCAGATGCCTGCTTTGGAGCCCTGGTTAAATCAGCCTCATCCCTCAACGAGAGTTTGTTGGTTTGTGTCTCCTCTCTCTAGATGTACTTTTGTCCGCAGAAGTAAGCGGGCTGCCTGGAGGGGACCGCCTCGACTGCGTGAAAGCCAGCGATCAGTGTCTCAAGGAGCAGAGCTGTAGTACTAAATACAGGACACTGAGGCAGTGTGTAGCCGGCAAAGAGAGCAACTTCAGCCGGGCGACAGGCCTGGAGGCAAAGGATGAATGCAAAAGCGCCATGGAAGCTCTCAAGCAGAAGTCTCTGTACAACTGCCGCTGTAAGAGGGGCATGAAGAAGGAGAAAAACTGCCTGCGCATTTACTGGAGCATGTACCAGAGCTTACAGGGTACGTTGCAAAACGCAGAAACGTTACACTCCCGTAGTGCAGTGTGTGATTTTGCAGCCCCTTGCATCCGCAGCTAGCTACCGCAACTGAGGCTAAACCGAGGGTCTGACCCCGTAATTCACATTGCGCTCTTCAGCTGCAAACTGAGGACCTTTCATCCAACTCAAGAACAGCTGCTGCTCCGTCTCCTGTTGTTGGGAAATCCACAATGAGGGTTTCCTCCAGGGGACCCAGCTGACCTTTCTAAACCAGAGTCAAAAGATAAGGGCACTAGCAAGTGCAAGAGCTACAAAAACAATCATTTGGAGACATTTTCCTAATAATATTTAAACTCCTTAATTAGGACTCACCTAACAAGATCACAGGACACTGGAACTAGTTTCTTAGCTCTTTGCTGAAAGTTAATGTATTATGAAGAGGAGCATTATTTTAAGGAAAAGTTTTTTCTTTCCTTTCCTGTATTTACTAGCAATATTCCCTGGGCATGCTGAGGCAGAGGAAAAAAAAAAAAAAAGTTTGTGCTCTCCTAGAGTGTGTAGAAGTGCCGGTTAGAAGGGATGTGACAGTGATTGACTCAGGACTTCTGTTCTTGATGTCACTGGCAAATTTCCTGTAGTCTGTTGAGAACAGTCAGGTTCTTAGATGAGATATATAATTTTTAGCCCTGTTTTGCTCTGGCCCTGGAGTTGAAGATGCAGTCTTTCACTTCAGTATGGTCCCCATTTAACTCTTTTCTGTAGCTGCTTCTGCAAAAACGGAAGTCCTCCCTTTCTGTTCATTTATCCAGGCATCAGCTGGAATGTTTTAATGAGAATATATATTTTTTGTTCTAACTTTTGTAATAAATTACACTACTCTTGGACATTTTCTGCATCATAAAAAGTTTCCCTTCCAACAGCATCTTGTTAGGAGTGTTTTATTCCAAAGATGCTAGATTTTAGCTGTTACCTGTGCTGCTCCTCTAAAACAGAGCTCTGTTGTTAGGGTGAATGAAGAGGAACATCCTTGCTACAGCTTGTCTCCTGCTGCATGAGATGGGACAGTTCCTGTGATGTCACAGGCTGTCTTTGCAAATTATGACCTCATCCATGGAGGAAGGAGAGAAAAGAACTAGTGACAGGGATAAACAACTAGCTTCTTTCAGGTGTTTTTATAGGTAGTGCTTTGAGGAGAAATAGCCAAATAAACAGATTAAAGGGGAGTACCTTTTGCTGTTACAGAATAACTTCATTTCAGAGTAAAAGTAAACAACAAAATCTTATCCTGAATTCTCATATAAGAAAAAAATCCAAATATTTTTTGTCTTTAGGAAATGACTTGCTTGAAGATTCCCCTTATGAGCCAGTTAACAGCAGACTATCAGACATATTCAGGCTAGCACCAATTGTATCAGGTAAGCAGACTTAAAATTCTTTAACTGAAACATGATTACAATCTGCTGCTTTGTAGTTGAATTATGGAACTTTAAAGCAATACTCTCTTAAATAAAAAGAAATGTTAATGGCATTCTGGATTTAGGAAGTTCATGATATAGTTGCACCAAAGAAAATACTAATTGATTTTGAAATAATAACTGAAAGAGTGCTTGGCAGGATGGCAATTTGTATTCTTTTTGAGTCATTCTTGACAATAAATGCTAAATTTTCCTGTAGGTGGCAATCTGATTCCCTACGTTCCTAATTTACAAATCAGTTCCTTTTTGGGAATGTGGTCAGTGCAAGTTACCTCCCATTGACATTAAAGAAGATCAGAAGATAAATCTTTCAAATGTTTGCATAAGGGAATGCTTTATAGTTTCATACATTTTTGTTTAAAAAAGAAATTTCAGAGTTAAGGCTTGTCTTCTTTTCTGGAACTGCTGCCTGTTTAAAGAGCCTATTCACAACTTCTTTCTTTTTCTGGTTTTTCTCTAAACATTTTTTGTTGCTGTGTGGCTGTCTTTCAGAACTTGTTTGTAGTAATTTTGAATATGTTGCTAGGTAATTAAACTATGCTGTTTGTTTTTTTATCAGCCTAAATTATACTCATTTTGGATCATATTTATTGAAACAATGATTTTGGGCCACTCACAGGGGTTACAGGTTGGAATTAATTTTCTTTTTCGGAGTTTCAGAAAGTCTTATGAGGATGCAGTCTGTATTCAGGACCTTTATTTGTTGAGTTACATGAAAAATTTAATATGCACAGTATAATGTGTAAGTCTGGCAGCGTTGAAGATGTAGTTAACTGACATGCTATGGATAAGCATTAGTAGATGGCTCTTTAAAAAAAAGAAGAAAAGACCAGAGAGAGTGGCTTGACCAATTTTCAGAAGTACTTACACTTTTTAGGACCCTAAGTCTCATTAAAAGCCGGGGGGACTTAGGTTGTTAAGTATTTAATGGTACAGATTTTCAAAGGCATATAGACATATAAAATGTAGGTAACTGCCCATTGGGATTTTCAGAAAGGACTAAGTGATTTAAATAGGCGTTAGATGCCCATGCAGTTTTAAAAATTCTAAGTGCTTAATGCATCTTTAGGTATCTTAATGCCTTTGAAAATCAGCCGTTTAGTCACTTTTCAAATTGAGACTTCAGATCCAGATCACATACATCTTTTGAAAGCATTATCCTAGTTTGGCGAGCAAGTCTGTTGGAGAAATAGTAGAGAACAAAGATTAATTTCTGAAGAATCTTTATTTATTTTATTTTTTATTCATTAAAAACCTCAACTTAATACAAAACCAAGACAAAATCAATGCAGAAGGGTTCCAGGACGTTTTCTTAAAGTTTATGGTCAGCCTGCTGAGGACCAAATTCTAACCTACCTCAGCAGTTTTGTGATCTCCATAGAAATACCCTATGTACACTCTGCCTTTCTGTTATTTTTTAGATTCCCCATTTACTTGCAAAGTAATTATCTTAAAAACGTAATAATTTTTTTTCTACCTGTTCTGTGCAACAATTAAATAAGACATAGTTGCCAGCAAGTGACGTCCTTCACAGTCAATGAAGATGCTGGTGGACTGGTTAGGACTCATTCTGTGTTACTAGTGCACCCCAAATTGCTGTTCACTTTGTCAGAAGTTTCAGGTTTACAAGGATCGGAGGCCTAGATTCATAGGGAGCAACAAACAGAAGTTGTAATACAGTGGAAAAACACCAGTATTTGAAAGAATTGTTATCTGAAAGAAAAGATTAGCAAAGGCATTTTTCTTATTGTCATGGTTACTACTGCATGTTACATTCTTTAAAGCTGCCTAGTCTTACAGATTTTTTGCAGGGCTCTGCAAATACCCCAAATAGCAGAACTTGGTAAGATTTTTATATCTTGATTAAAACAAAACAAAAAAACCCCTGTACAAGCAGTGTTGGCAGGGGCTTCAGAACTGGTGTTCTGCTAATGTGGTCACTGTGTTTATAGATGTTGCTGCAGTATTCACTCTCATTAAAGTTACTTGGGTGTAATTAAAAGCAGTGATTAACCCTTTCATCTCACAAAGGCCATTCTGTTGTACTGTGTGACTTGGTATATATCAAGTGTTATGCTTTTGCCATCCTTTTTATTTATTTTTGAGACAGTATAGAAAATCACAACAGTCGTCTTTCGTGGTACGTAAAAGGGGAAAACATTGGCTAAGATGACTGTTTTGTGTGTTACATAAGTCTTTTGTAGCATACGTAAGTCTAAGAAATGGAGGACAGTTTTTAAAAGCAGTTAAAGTTGATCTATTTCTATACTGAAAGATGTTCAAAATTGCGTCCCCTATGGAAACAGGATGCCACTTTCTCATTAATTCTTCAAGCATCAATATGTTGATTGAAAACAAAAATCAGGAATATATTGCTAAATCTGTTACAAAGTTTGTAGTTTCTCTTCAGTTCCCGTTATGTTAGTGGAACAAGTGATGCAGTCGTGTTACTAAAGTGAAGGGTTTTTTTATATTTTTAAGTGGTTTATATTATACTGGGACTAGTGGTATAGTTAGCCTAGAACTAGAAGGACAAGCTAAGTGTTCTATATAAAACTTAAAACAATGTCCAACAACACAGAAAAGAAAAATCTAAACACACAAAATTATTTCTTGTAGTACTAGCTGTTAAGCCCAGGATATCATATATTTAGATACTAACAAGCATGAATTTTGCATTTGAATCACTACTGTATTTGCCAGGAAAGTGTAATTTATATACATAAATATATTTATATATAAAAGAATTGATAGCTAAAACAGGAATGTGAGTTCATAGTTTGATTTACTTGTGGTGACGTATCCTGAGTATTCAAGGGTCTGATCTTCTTTCCTTTCCATCTACACTTCAAGTTTATAATTCAGCTCCTTCTATAAAGTCAGTCCTCTGACACCTCACGTGGCCACATCCAGGACTGTGAGTCTTCCCAGTTGAAGGACAGGGCTGTCTTGTTTTTTGTTTTGGGTATGTCTAGGTCTGAATTTTCTTTAGAACTACTATGTCTGATGTGGTGCTTCTGCCTCAAGGGTGTGAATTTCTTGCTGGTAGGCAGCTCTTCAAATTACTGAAGACTTGTGTGTGTGTGTGTGTGTGTGTTTCAGAGAGTAACAGATTTGGGTTAGTTATTATGATGTAAAGATTTTGCTTAAACAGACATTTTTCCTTAAACCTTAACAACTTCTGAGAGGTGAAAACATTTTAAGGCCATTGAGTTCTGTCACAACTACAGTAAATGCAAAATCTGTTGACTGGATTTCAGAGATGAGTTTCATACCAAATTAAGGATAGGTGCTTGAATTAGTCACTTTTTTAAAGCTATCTACAGCTTTTTACTACCTGGGGAACAGTTTGCCTCTTGAATTTGTATTGTATTTGACATTGAGCCTTGCGACTGGAAGATATCTTATTATTGTGGTATCAACTGATACAATATAGTGGTCATCTCTGTGGCATGTTATAAGAAAATATCCTGCGTAAATACTGTAGCTGCACGTACCTGTAGATATACTTACAAAATAAATGTTTCTGAAATGTCTCATTCATTTCAACACAAAATGGAGAGCCACTAGAGCTGAATAAAATGTGTTAAGCCATATCTGTGAAGTGGTGTAAATAGAATACTTGATGTTAAAAAGAATTGACTATTTAGATCAACGTGTTTTGGACAACATAACGCTCTCCTCCCATGGATTCACTTTTAAGTTGCCTAGTTAATCACAGGCTTATTATCCCATTGTTCCGCTTTGTGTAGCTTTCCTTCTTTCTTTTACATCTATCATGTTCAGAAATAAAGAACAGGGTACATAAATCAGAATATTTCTTAAAACATATAGGTTTTGCTGCTAATCTGTGGAAAATTGGTCAGTTATATGCGGCTAGTCATGTGTTTTTTCTAGTTGCTAAAATGCAAGACAGGTAGAAGTTAATTATTTTGCCAGTATTTCTTTTTAGTGTAGTAAACTGTTTTTGCAAAGTGCCTTTTGTATCATTAACAAATGAGAAAAAGAAACTGGCTCGTATGATTATACGTCAAAAGGAGCGTTTCCTGATTCTGCCATTCTCATGAGAGGCTGTTTACTCTTTAAAAACTCTGGGAATCTTCTGTTGCAGAAGGTATCTGGAAGCTTATATTTAGAAAAGGATCTATTTTGTATTTATTGTGGTAAATTTGTTAATTAAAAACAAGAGTTCAGTAGACAGAACAGCACATAGGGCTTCTTAATGGAGTGTATCATTCCACATTAGAACACGAGTAGCACAGCACGTGAAGTTAGCATGTTTGATTGCATATTGAATAAGCTGTAAGTACAAATACAAACAACTATGGTCAGTAAGATGGCCTTTTATTGTCTTTTAAAAGTTGAGACTATAAGAAGTTAGCAGTGCAGGAATTCTCAGAAGGGTGTGTGTGCTGGTGGCCTTTAAATTAGGCAGTCTCATGTATATTCTTTCTGTAGGATTTCATGAAGATGGGTCTGGGTCTCCCTCTAGGATCTCTAAATTGTTCAGAAGGACAGTGGATTAATCAGTAGTTTTCCCTTTTTCCTCTGAGTTTTTCAAAGTCTTTTAGGCATCCTGTGTCATTGGCGTTCACAGAGTACAAAGTCAATGCTGGGAAAGAATGAAGGCCAGTATGCAAAACAGTTCCTTCAAGATTTGACAGACTTTGATCAGGGAATACTTCCCTCTCCCCAGCATAAAACCTGCTCTGAGTATTGATGACAGCTCCCCATTATTTTATCCTTCCCAGGGATGGGGTAGAGACATCACAGAGAACGGACTGCAAGTGTCTCCTTTGGAACAGTTGCTGTCAGCAAAGGTGGGGGAAGAAGGTTGGGGTTTTTCAGTACGAATTCTCAGGATCCAGAGAACAGAGCTTCCTTGTCTGTGTGCTTGAGGTCCTGTAGGATTCCTCATATCTTCCCTGTATGAGGGAACT